CTCTCCAGTAGCTAGTGAGGGAATGTTGGTTCTCCCAGTCCCCGCATGACCTTTCTGGCCGGAGGCTGAAGGGACTGGGTTCTAGAATGGGCTCAAGAGGCGAGAAAGCGGGAGCCAGAGTCACTTTCTGGAAAGGGGGTTGCTTTAAATCCTCCTAAGTAGAACTGGCGCTGATCTGGACCGGCCAGGCTAGCCCGAGGTCATTGGAAGCGAAGCAGGGTCGGCCCTGGCTGGTATTTGTATGGGAGACCTCCAAGGAATACTGTGGTTGCATGCACAGAGAGAGCGAGGGAGAGGGAGAGGGAGAGAGAGAGAAGGCAGGCAATGGAGCACCACCACCTCTTGGCTTTGAAAACCCTACGGGGTCGCCATAGGCCTGGGGGAGAGAGAGAGAGAGAGAGAGAGAGAGAGAGAGAGAGAGAGAGAGAGAGAGAAAGAGAGAGAGAGAGAAAGAGAGAGAGAAAGAAAGAAAGAAAGAAAGAAAGAAAGAAAGAAAGAAAGAAAGAAAGAAAGAAAGAAAGAAAGAAAGAAAGAAAGAAAGAAAGAAAGAAAGTTGTGGGACGAGGCTTGGTCCTAAGCATGTTTCACTGAGCTTGGTTCTCTCAGAGGGCCTATTTTGGGTATATCCCAACTGTTCCACCCAACCCATTGACTGGGAGTCAATATCAGCACGGTCCAGGCGGAGACCGTCTAGGCCAGGCCGCCCGTCCCGGTCTTGTCGGGTGCCGAATGCAGGACGCGGATCTGCGTGGAGCGCTGGGAGAACCGGGCTGCGGGCTGCGGCCGCTGGATCCCTGCACGGGACGGGAGGGAGCAGAGGCGCGGGTCTGGTTTACGCCGGGCAAAGCCCGGGCAGCCACGGGGGTGCCTGTGGGGAAAGTACCTGCCTGGGATCCTGGGAACACTCTCTTGGAAGGAAACGCCAAGGGAATCGAGGCTGCGACCACTCGCTCTAAAAAGAAATCCACTTTCGATGTAATTCCCAACTGAATGTTGCCGTGTGAGGCGGGAAAATCCAGTTGGAAATACCCGGAAAGTGGATCGAAAGGGGGTGATTCAGGGTAGAAGCCCCCCTCTCTCTGGTGGTTCTCGGGGAGGGCCTTAGAGCAGCGCCGGGGTCCCGGGCTTCTGGCTCGGCCGCGGGAGGAGGGAGGGGGACCCTCGAGCGGGCCTCGGCCAGATAAGCAGCAGCCGCGATGCTCGGCCTTCGCCGTGTTTTCTCTCCAAACAGCTGCTTCGACGTGAGAAAACAAAAGCTGCTCCGAGGGGGAAAAAAAGAGACCTATTGTTCAGGGAGCCGCGCTCGGGCAACTGGCGGGGGGGGGAGGATTTTAGGAGGAGGAGGAGGAGGAGGAGGAGAAGCAGAGGAATATAGCCGCGGGCCATCCTGGGGACAGTCTGATTGAAACCAGGTCCGGCCGTCCAGGCGAACGCGGGGTCAGCAGCGCCGATTTAACCGGCTTTCCCCCAGAAGCCTGCCGCGCCGACCTAAACGGAGCGACGCCCTTCGGAGTCCACTTTTAAGTCGGAGGCCTTAGGAAGGCGTAACTCTGCTTAGGAGGGCGCCGCTGCTACAGCCTCTCCCCATTTCGTTCCTGGACGAGGAGATTAGTCGTTCCAGGTGGGGCAGGAGTCCAGGGGCCCCCTTGAAGACCCACGAAGGTTCATTCGAGGAGGCGTGGGCTCTCCTGTGCCAGGCGCCCTTCCTCAGGTAGTCGGGCACCTCCCGGCAGCTTTCTCGGAAGGCGGACTTCAGGCGCCCCCCCCCCCCCCCCCCCCCCCTCTTTGGGCGGGGACCCGCGCACCCCTTTCCTCCCATCCCCGCGCAGCTCCGACCACGCTGCTAAACCATCGCGAAGGCTTTCCGCCGATCCTCTTGCACGAGTGCAAATCGCCGGGTCTGGAGGAAGCCTCCCCGAAGGCGGCGGGACTCCTCAACAGACTCGCCGGCTCGGGAGGCATTTCCCTTGACCGCCCACGGGGCTGACTTCCGAGTAAACGCGAGGCGCGAGATCCCGCCGCCGAGAGGGCCGGTGTCGTCTTCGAAACCGGCTCGTAACCGGTGTTCCCTCTAAGCTGAGTGAGTGTGAGCCAGCTCACAGTTTTTGAGCCTCCGGCTCACACATTTTTGTCTCGGCTCAGGAAGGAGGGCTCCGGAGCAAACTAGTTTATTCCAGCAGCGAAATCTCTTGCTCACAACTTTAATGCCAGTAGCTCACAAAGTAGAATTTTTGCTCACAAGACCCCACAGCTTAGAGGGAACATTGCTTTTCTCGGTGAGACTGGAGGGAGCCGGCTCATAAACGAAAGGACGGAGGCGAACGCTTCACACTGCCCCGTTGGTTTCACGTCGGTTTCCTTTCCCATCTTTTCTCAGGCCTGAGGTCGGTCGGGGCGGGGGGAGGAGGCTGTACCGAAGGCACAACGGGGGTCGCTGAAAACGACTCCCCGCCCCGAGGTCTGACTTCGCCTCATTGAGGCCGAAACAGTATGAGGGGGGGGCCGTGTGGATCTGGAGCCGCCGAACAAAGCAGGGGTCCCACCACGGCCCGGAAGAAAACAAGAAGGTTGGTCTTCAAGGTGGTCCTCGTGGACTCAGGCTCTCTCCTGTCTATCGGCCTCTAAAGGATTTGGGGGGGGGGGAGATAAATCCTTTCGCGTTTGCGTTGCAGGAGTGACGCCGCAGTTTCAATCCGGGGAAAGAAGAAACTGTTTGGTTTTTTCTCCGCCCCCCCCTTTTCTTTTCTCTTTAAAAAAAGGACCTTAGAAAACCCGGGTGGAAGAGACAGAAGGGGGGGAAATAAGGTCCCGAAATGGGTAAAAGATGTTGGGCTCTTAGGAGGGAAATTTCTCCAAATAGCCCTTTTAAACGCGGGTCTCGGAGGTTAACTAAACAAAGACAGTCTGGCCTGGACCACACCGAAGGGGATTGGAGCTTGACTTAACCCAGATGAGAGCGGGGTCTTGTTCAATTTTATGGGAATTTCAACAAGTAACAAATACAGACGACCTTGTCCGCTGCCCCGGCTCTCTGGCCGGCGACCTGCTGTCAATCATCCGCCGGGCCCTTTTCTGCTCCCCCTCCCCCCCTTTGACCCGGTGCCCGCAAACCCCCGCGCAGGGAGAAGACTTCAGAACTCAGAAGCACCTTTGGAGAATTACGATGACCAGGATGATAACGAATGGTCACAGGCAGATATGTGACTGGTAGATGGCAATAGTTAGTATATATTATTATTATCATTACTATTATTATCACCACCACCACCACTAGTAGTAGTAGTAATAGTAGTAGTGGTGGTGGTGGTGGTGGTGATAATAGTAATGATAATAATAATATATACTAACTATTGCCATCTACCAGTCACATATCTGCCTGTGACCACTACTAGTATAATATATACTAACAATTGCCATCTACCTGCCTGTGACCACTACTACTAGTAGTAGTATTATCTACTACTAGTAGTAGTAGTGAAACCCACTCCCCCCCCCCCCAGCAAGACTTAGAGAGACGGAGACAAAGGGGTTTCAAACCCAAATTGCGCACCTCCTGATTCGAATCTAAACGCAATTCCCCCCCCCCAATTTATTATTTATCCAATCTAAACGCAATTCAGCTCCACTGAACTGGTAACTTCCCTAGGGAGGAGGGCGATTGCAGGTATGGGAAGGCGGCTCCTCGTTGGCCGCAAACGGGCTTTCGCTCCGAAAGTAACGGATCGGGAGATGGAAAGCCTCCAAGGCAAATGTGTGTGTCCCCCCCCCCCCCCCCCAGCCCCGTCCTTTGCCCCTGTGTCCAGTGTCCTTCTCGGCATCTGCGACGCCGCTGGGCCCGCGATTTGGACCGGTGGACCAGCTCCTTCCTCTCAGATTCTTGCAGGAGGAGAGAGAACGGTCTTCTCGCTTCTGGAGCAGTTTGCTGAGAAGGACGCTTTTCTCTTCTGCTCCGGGACTGTTTTCCCACGCGCCTTCTGGCAGCTTTGAGAAGCACGCTGACATTTGCAGGCAGGGGTTTCTCTTTCCATATTTTTCATTCCCCCCCCCCAATTCATTCATCCGGGGTGCAGAGCAATGTTCCCTCTAAGCTGTGGAGTCTTGTGAGCAGAAATTCTACTTTGTGAGCTACTGGCATTAAAAGTTGTGAGCGAGCGATTTGGCTGCTGCATAAATTAGTTTGCTCTGGAGCCATCCTCTCTGAGCTAAGACAAAGATCTGTGAGCTGGAGGCTAAAAAACTGTGAGCTGGCTCACACTAACTCAGCTTAGAGGGAACACTGGTGCAGAGATTGTGGAAGTCGGGTGCAGGCCGATCCAGATAAAACCAAATGCTTAAACCGGCG